AGAATGAGAATTCAAATACTTTGATCTTCAACGTAGAGTCAGCGGTACATCAGAGGGAGATCGGGTACAACAGAAAGAGAACAGAAAAAATCAGATTTCGCTTGTCGACATCTACAGGGCACAGGTATAGGTTCAAGGAGTGGTATTTCGCTATCGAATTGGCTCTCAAGTCCCTGGAATTAGGCAGTTCGGATAGAGAAGTTAACTATGCCGCTAGTTTCCTTGTAGACAACGCTCGCCTTTGGCTCATCTCTTCCCTGGGAGCTGAAACCTTTCCTGACTGGCCGTCACTAAGAGATGCGCTTGCTAAGGTATACGGTCCAAACTTTCAGGTTCCTGAGTTGGACGAGCACTCAAGAGCGCTGCTGTTAACCAACGGGCTGTACGGCGATGTCCGAGAACAGGTACTTCGTGACCATCCGAAAACCGTAGCTGCGGTCGTGGATGAGGGTAGCTACTTCTGCACGCTTGTACCGTAGGCTACATATGTTTAGCGCGCCGATCTTGAGAGGCGCGGCGGTCTGGGTAGGTGGAGGGTGTACTGAAGGTGACTGTGCATGCGGAGTGGCAGGATTCCTAGGGGAGAAGGGTTTGGCAAGAGGGTTCAGCGGCATGAGTGTTCAGGAGGAGATAATTTACAGAAGAAAACGGTATATACAAATAGAGAAATAGATGGGCTGGGTTCATAGAATGTGGACAGTTTTCGACGAGTACTTACTCAGTGGCTTCCTCTGCGCGCAGCTTCAACTCTCTCTCTCTCTCTGCCAGCTTCTTGCGCTCACGGTTTAAATACTCCTTAGCCCACGCAATTTGCGGGTCGTTCAAGGCAGAGGCAGGTGGTTCTATGCACCCGGATAAGACAGTGGCGGAGAAGGTGTGTTTACCTGCTGCACGTCTGAAGCCTTCTTCATCAGGAGAGAGGGTTGTCCCGCTGCTCTTTTCTTTGTCTCCAGGTTGACTGAAAGCCGGCACATGGTTACTGGTATCAGTTGTGCCAGTGCTGGTCCTGTTGGCTAAAAAGTGCCTGGCGATAGCTGTTGACTGAGGCAGTGTTCAGCCCTTCGTTGCTAGCTGCACCTGTCTCCACACTGACGACAGCTGGCTCTACAGCGGCTTCTGCGGGCTGGGTAGTCACCGTACCCGTATTAGTGGCTGTACTGACGCTGGGAGGGTTTGTACTCGTACCGGTTGTGTTGCGGTCCTGCGTTTGTGGAGGCCGGGAAGCTGTAGACTGTACCCCACGGTTGGGACATGCTTTAGCCTCGTGGCCACTGTTTTTGCAGCGCCAACATGTTTGCTGTTGGCCACGGTGCCATACTCGCAGTTTCAACTGACCTACGGTAACCGTAGATAGAACTGGTGATCGGAGGACCAGGCTGAGAACACGGGTGCCAGTACTTATTTCCAATCCCTCAAACAATACTTTTTTTCTGTTGAGGCGACCCAACAATTCGGCCGAATTGGCCCAGCGCAGCACACAATTTACTGTTTTGAAGCCCGACACGGCGCCCAAACACATGCAGACGGGTTAAGTCCACCCCGGAAATCTCGCAGAGCACCTGCTTACCCGAAATCCGGATTCCTGCGTCCAGTATCTTTTCCGGCTCAGCAGAACTCTTCACTGTAACTAAGCAATGTCCAGTCTTGCCCTGAAGGTCCACCTGGCAGACCTGACTTATATCTACCTTACTCTGCTTGAGCGCCTCGACGTAAAACAAGTGGTCTGCAGACCAGTCCTTCTGCATCCTAAAAGAAAAGGAGGCCGGAGCAGGAGCTCCAAAACTGCCAACCATCTCCATCGTACTCATGAGGTTTTATCGAGTTGGATTTGGTCTAGGGTGTGCTGGAACGCACCAAGTTTGGATTGCAGTCCGAAGGCATTTGTTAGCAGGAGCGTTAGGCTGGGGGGGGGCATCATTTGGATTGCTGCTCAGTGCGTTCCTTAAATCGCCATGGCCTCGCGTACAGGGGCCTTGGTCAGAAATTCTCAGTTGTGACTAGGGTGAGGTCCTTAGCGTCCAAAGTTAGGTGGGCAAACTTTCTTCCTGCCTCCGTTGTGTGGAGGCTGCAAGTCTGCACCGTTGAAGTACCCCCTGCTGCAACTGCACGCTGCTGGGTGAAGCATTTCAGTCCCTCCTCAGTGCAGCTTGAGCTTAAATTGCCTACATACAAAACTGCCCTCCTGGACCTGGGAGGCTCTCCTGACACCAGTTGCCAGCTGTCGTCGTCTAAGACCTCCAGGACTGGCTTGGATAGATGTTTAGCGCTCCTGCTGTAGGGGCCCTCAATACCAATGATCTCAGAATTACTGTCTTCCTCACTGGACGCCTCAGGGTCACTGCCAGTGTCACCCACGCTACGGGGCTCACCCGTAGATCCACTAGTAGTGCACGCGACAGCCTGGCCTGTGCGGGTACTACGGGTACGATTTATTGACGATTTCGTAGATCTACGCTTCGTACGCTGCCTCTGCTGAGAAGCTTGAATATTTGGGAGATCACTTGCCTTGGCAATGGCGGCTTCCTTGAGGGAGACAACTTCCTTAGTCAGGCCTGACACTTGCCGCGACAGGTCATTGATTCTTTTGTTGAGGCGATCCTCGCGATCGGCCGACTCGGACGCTAAGTTCGCCAGGGTCTTGATAACCTCACTGAATCACAGACGACTCGACACCCGGGAGGGAGCACAACCGTTTCGTTTCTCCCTCTGAGAGCCCCTTGAGGGCGGCCTTTGTAGCTGGGGGTATGGCCGCCAGAGGTGGGTCAGCCCTACTACACGATACTCACTAACTAATACTGCTAGTTGTCCTCTTGGCCACGCCGACGGGCTGCCAGAGACTGAAAAACTGCGGCGCTCAAAAATTTGCTTCCACTTCAGTAAAACATCAAAAACACGATGGTGGGGAGTCAGCCGGGAGCCGGAGGACGTGCCCAAAGCGCCTACATCTAGCTCTCAAGATGATAGTACCGAGAGGAACCGCGCCGGTACGCTCATAGAACCTCTCGTTCCTAATCCGATTCGGGAACACAATGCAGATTAGCGCCCGCAGCTGTTTTCGGTGGAATGCCTCAATACGGCTCAGCTGCTGTTTCGTTGGTGCCCATATTGCACAATTGTAGCAGAGTACAGGGAGTACAAAGGAATTATAGAGCCGGATGCGGAGATCCTCCGAAACTAGCGACCTACGGATCTACAGCGTCCAGAGTTTACCAAAGGCAACAGTTGCCAGTTGCTGTCGCCGTAGCATATCCTCGGCATCACCTAATAGGGACCCGAGTTTCTTGGTGTTTCGCCACTCCTCCTCGATGCGATCAGTGTGCTGTTCGATGTGCGTGTGCTCTTTTTTTGTCTCATTCACTTTCAAATCCCATTCGAGGAGCTTGTTGGATATGGTTGGAAGGAGGGTCTTCAGCCTCACACCATCAGCAGTTACGAAATCCACATCGTCGGCGTAGGCAGTTTCAGTTGGTAACCCCAGGGAGATATCGGCAGGGGGACGCGGTAGAAGAAGAGGCCGAACATCACGCAGCGCACCCTCAAGGCACACTATGAAAAGAACAGGAGACAACGAGTCACCTTGGGGCGTGCCGCGGAGAGTGGGGAATGACGAGCCCTTAGCGGATGAGAGTACAACCCGAAGTATGGTGTCCTGGAGGAGGTAACTGATCATTCGGATTTCATCCGGCTGCAAGAACGATCCCAGCACCGAGATGAGCCGTGTCCTGCTTCTACAGTCAAACGCTTTTGACATATCAATGCCTAGGATACCCAGCGCACAGCGATAGCGTTGGCATCGAGCCGCCAACCATCGGTATGACCACACAATTTCTGTGGTGCTTCTGCTGGGGCGGAAACCACTCTGTGTGTGGGTGCAACGAAGTTGTTGAAGTCCTTGTTGATCCTCCGCAGCACAATCAATGATAGAATCTTCCTGAGCGCTGTGAGTAAGACCGCGGGCCGTAGGTGAGCGACTGGTCCCCTTGATTTGCCAGGCCTTTGTAACGGAATATGTGACCCACTAACGATGCTGTTCAGGGGTAAAATTAGTGGCGGGCAATTCATCAGCCTTGCAAGCTGTTGAATGGTGCAATCCCAGCACAAGTTGCTATATCTAACATAGCTGTTCGCTAACATCGCTTCCGCGACGGGCAGGTCTGAGGTCTCAGGTTTACGTGTGCGTGTGTGTGTGTGTGTGTGCGTGCGTGTGTGTGCGTTTGTGTCTCTCCACTCTCCGTGTGTGTGCGTTTGTGTCTCTCCACTCTCCCGGGGAGACCCACGTGACCAGTTTTGTCAATGAGCAACAAGTGTGTGTGTGTGTGTGTGTGTGTGTGTGTGTGTGCGTGAACGTTTGTGTGTGCGCCGGCTAGTCCGGTTGGTGGGTGCACGTATGCCAGATCAGTGTTGGGACAACCCAAAGACATGCCTAAGATGATCACTGCCCATATGTAGCTGTTACAAGCTTGTTTGGACTCACTATTAGAGCTGGGAACAGATCACACGCCATGTAAACCTGCTACATGAACTTGTTGAACTACAGGCTCTCATGTACATGTACTCCCTCTTTCTCAATCTACCCCCCCCCCCCCACCCGCTCCCCCTGTTCTTTCTCTTTCCCTCGTACTTCCATTACATTTTTATCTGGTGAGTCTAGAGCGTGAGGATGTCGAGACCAACTGGTCAACGGAGCGCCTGGCCCCCACCACCATAGCTGCTGCATGTTCCCATTGCATGTACCACGTGGATTTTGGTATAAAAACAAAAAAACCTTTTCCTTTCTACATTTATTATTGGCTCAACATCCGAGTTTCCAAAAACAAAACTCTATCTTGAAATTGTAATGAAAAAGTCCTTTTCAAAGTGTCATCTTCGGTTTGCTCAAACCTAGAACATACAGTGAACTTTGCACGGGGGCAGTTAACTTTGACATGAACCAGGAAGAGTGCATATCCAAGCCGATACATTATCGTTCATATTCATTATTATAGCAACTAAGCACTTACCGCCGAGGTTCTGTGTTGACACTTCATTGGCTGTCAGCAGCGTAAGGAGTGCTGCGATGACAATAACCCCTTTGGCAGATATCACCTGCCAATGAGTGTTAGGTCTCATTTTCTGGAGTCACCACGCATTTGGGTTATGGTCAACCGCTTATGCCTCTCGTCCGTAAGAAGAAGGAAACCGGTATTCTTGAAACGGCTGGTCGATTGCCAAAACTAAACGAAAGAAGCCCAGATACCGCTGTCTCTGGATTCCGTTATGATGGGAAGCAAACGGTGACTTGCCTACCTGCCTGTACCCGAGACCACCTTTGACGTGGAATAGTATCAATTCGCAACCCGAAGGAGATAACTGTCCAGTGATAAAGGAACGGATGGTGAGCATCAGATCGCTATGAAAATTAATATTATAAGAGCTCACAACCAAATGAGACAGAATCAAAGGAGGATATAATTATATGCTGTAGAGGACTGGTACAAAGCGTGGAGAAACGAGACCCCTTTTGGGCAAATACATGTAGATGGCAATTATCATGGGTTTGGAGTACATAAAAGTGCGTGAAATGCTTATAGATGAACCCTTTCGCGCAAGGCCAGACCATTTGTGAAGGAGTGGGAACCACATCCGCGCATGACGCAGCCAACAGCAGTCCCAGGGACTTTCGTTCCAAACGAGGAGCATGCAGAATTTCCAGAATGTGCGCGTCGCCCAGGGCATAGCTTGGTTCACCTACATCTACTGTAAGGTCGCAAGACCGAAGAAGCCCAGTGATAGATGTCGATTGCTGGATTGGAACGAAAAAGCTCCACGAGACCAGTGTTGGTGTGAACTTGATGTTACCACTATGCACTAATGATCTGAAACGGTAGTCAGGTGACAATCACTGTTTGAGGCCCAGGTGGCGACTATTCCGAAAACTCGTTATGCTCCATTTCATATTGCCAGGTGGCGTGCACTGCTAGCAAAACAATCCTGCCGGTAAAGGCATTCCAATCGCTCACAGTGCACTACCCATGTGCTCATTAAATGTTCCTGGCACTCTCTATGTGTCGCGTTCGTTGTCACCGAAGTTTGCATGGTTCTTGTTTTTGCTCGCACTGTACTAGTAATCAATCCATTTCGGGTTCTCCTCTATTTTCTGGTTCGTCATCAGTGGTCATTAGTGAATGAATAGGAATAGTAATGCGTATACCTCTGATAGGCTTCGCGACCGATTTGTGTTCGCGCTGCTTTCCGAATCTAAATGCTTTTGACGGCACGAGGTTCTCCAACTACCTCAGCATACAAATCCCGAATGTTAGTCATGGCGTTAATTATCATTACCATCTCAAATTATTACAGCATGCGACTGAGCTCCCGGCCATTGAAGGAAATGTTGAGTCACCCCCACCATTACACTGCGCTCTTAGCCGACTAGACCCTCGTGCACACAACCATCACCACTGCGAGGACACTTACACCTCAAATTGCTTGCCCGTAAAGTCGCGGATAAAAGCCGGGTTTGTATACAAGCACATCGCGGATAGAAGCCTGAAAATCAAACGGATCAAATGCATATAAGCCTGTCGCGCGTAGAAGCCTGGCTTCTATGCAAGCGCGGATCGGGTAGGTCAAGAGTGCATGCGCTATGTACAGTGCATAGTAAAACTGCCACCATACCGGTAGTCAGTGGTAGATCTACGCGTGTCGCGCGTAGAAGCCTGGCTTCTATGCAAGTATGGTGCATAATATAAGCATGGTTTGCATACAAGCCTGGTTTGCATTAAAGCCTGATGCAGAAAGCTGCCTATGTGCTTATAAGCCCAGCTTTTATCCGCGACTTTACGGTATACATGATTTGAGAGAGGTAGGTTGGTGGCGGCGGAAGCGCCCCCCCCCCCCCCCCATCTGTCCGTGGTGGTTTTCGTAAAGAAGTGCGGCGAACTAGCGACTGGTTCCAAATGTCACTATAGATTGGAGGTGTCCATTGAAATTTCATTTTTCAGGATGCTTATCGTTTCCGAGAGCGGACGCGACCGTCACGAAGGCCAAGCAGCGTGATCTGGGGACAGATGTAATTGTCCCGGAGGGTAACTCGTTTCAAAGAGGTTGAGTGCAGAATGGATGGATTAATTAAGGGATCCTGGCTGAACAAATACGACCAGAAGGTTGCCCACCTCCCGCATTCCCACGTACTACTAGATGGAGATGCTAGTGCTGCGAAGTGCAAATGACCCTCCTCGTCATCGCCCTCAGCGTCACTTATACATGTTACTACTCCATGTGCAAAACTGACTCGCGCTGCTGCCTGGTGCTCTGGATCTCGTCCAGACGAAGAGAACCCCGGTTACGTTTTTTGTAATACGTACAGGCTCAGTTCCAGTTTCCTTGGAATTTGAAAAGAGTTACCGAACATTAGGAAGCTGACTTTGATCCATTTCCCATCAAGAAATAGAACCAAAGCCCCCAGATACCGGGCGATAGCAGATATTAGCTCCAATCGGATATCGCACTAGCTGTGCTAGTACTCGTTAGAAACAATCCGAACTAGCGCACACACTGCACTGCATCATTTTGTACTGCGTTCAAGACTGGCGTCTTGCGCTTTGTTTTGCTGCGTAATCACAGGCGGCACCAGCCCGTTTTGCTGAAAAGAAAAAACTTATCTTGCTCGCCCTGTTGTGCTCTTTCAGACAACTGATCGTGCTTCAGCAGTGTTTATTTTTATTATTATTATTATTATTATTATTTGAAACTCGGATGTTGAGCCATAAATAAATGTAAAAGAGAAAAGGACATATGGATACGAGTTTAGAGTAACTCTCCATCACTGTAACATGATACTATATACAGTCAGACAGTGCAATAACTAGGCACAAAACTGACAGAGTACTGAGACATTCGACGTCCTGACACCTAACTTTAACACATCTCCGTAGCGCTAACCGACAGCCTTCCAACTTGGAAGGTTCAAGGTTATGGAAAGACCAAAGAGGGGAAGGCAAGCGCAACGAAAACGAGCAAAAGCTACAGTCCCAACGGAACAAAGAATGTCGATTGTTACTGGACGATGACGAGACCAGTACGATATTTGACAAAGCGGTCTAACTACAATTCGAAGCAGCAAAGCAGCACACCACCCAACTTGGGTGGGCCATAAATATCAAAGATAAGTAAAGAAAGGGAAGCTTTGCGAAAACGAATTGTACAAGCCGAAAGCCAAACTCCTACAGTACTCCTCATGCATGACATTGTGATGGACTAGTTGACTACAAAACAAGTTGTTTCACACGACATACGTTTCGCCGTATGGTTCGTGACGGCTCATCAGGTGTGCAATTTGAAACTCGGATGTTGAGCCATAAATAAATGTAAAAGAGAAAAGGACATATGGATACGAGTTTAGAGTAACTCTCCATCACTGTAACATGATACTATATACAGTCAGAAAGTGCAATAACTAGGCACAAAACTGACAGAGTACTGAGACATTCGACGTCCTGACACCTAACTTTAACACATCTCCGTAGCGCTAACCGACAGCCTTCCAACTTGGAAGGTTCAAGGTTATGGAAAGACCAAAGAGGGGAAGGCAAGCGCAACGAAGACGAGCAAAAGCTACAAAGCTTCCCTTTCTTTACTTATCTTTGATATTTATGACCCACCCAAGTTGGGTGGTGTGCTGCTTTGCTGCTTCGAATTGTAGTTAGACCGCTTTGTCAAATATCGTACTGGTCTCGTCATCGTCCAGTAACAATCGACATTCTTTGTTCCGTTGGGACTGTAGCTTTTGCTCGTTTTCGTTGCGCTTGCCTTCCCCTCTTTGGTCTTTCCATAACCTTGAACCTTCCAAGTTGGAAGGCTGTCGGTTAGCGCTACGGAGATGTGTTGAAGCTAGGTGTCAGGACGTCGAATGTTTCAGTACTCTGTCAGTTTTGTGCCTAGTTATTGCACTTTCTGACTGTATATAGTATCATGTTACAGTGATGGAGAGTTACTCTTAACTCGTATCCATATGTCTTTTTCTCTTCCACATTATTATTATTATTATTATTTGAAAAGGATTGGGAGAAC